CTTCTGCAGAACAAGCCTGGGGGAAATAAAAAGCCATGGTGACAATACATAATAAATACTGTAAAAGATGCTGAATGAAGATTAAACCAGGGAGGAAGAGCCGTTATATTCTCAAGCTCTATATGTTTTATTTCTCTAAACTCAAAGTGATGGTGAGCGACAGAGACAGTAGGGACCATGAGCGAACGACTAATGAATTTATCACAGCCAAATGTAGTTGTTTTAGTCAATCACCCCACGCTGCCATTAAACGTCCCTGTGATTAGTGAGGCGCTCACATTCAACCTAATTATCCAACGGCGTTGTCAACCCTCCACTTTATTACCAACAGTTTGCTTCTTATACTGCAATTATGTTCTTTGCGATGGCAAAAAGCCATGATTAAAGAGGAAACACTTGCTTTGTGTGTGTGTCTGTGAGTGTGCACTTGTTTGTAAGTGTTTAGGCATCTGCGTGAATGGATGTTTGGATGAAAATTAACAATCTTGTTTTTCTTATGCCCACCTCATTAGTTGCAGCTCCACTGTCCTACCCCCTCTCCGTGTGTGTGTGTGTGTGTGTGTGTGTGTGTGTGTTAAGAGGTTAAATGTATTTTCAGGCCTGGTTGAAATGATTTTTTTTTCTCTGCAGATAAAGGAAACTATTGACCAGCCCAAGACTCACAAAATGAGCAATCCACCTTAATTCTACAGCATATTTAGCTGCTAATAGAGACGTTCAGGACTCGAAGGCTGCGGCTCCACAGAGAAGAAAAACTGGGTCAGATGACTGTGGTTGTGATTTCATGCTGTCGGTAGAAAGACGTGACTCTCTTGCTCTGCTGAAATCTATTCTAATGACATTTTGATAAAATGTTGTATTGTTATAATATATAATTGTAATTCCAGTGTATTATTTGGGCATTAGTAAAGTCCCCTGTGATGAGGTGAGGGGTTGTGGGAGTGAAAAAATATGGGTTTTTTTTAACCAGCAGGGGGCAGTGGAGCTGCAGCTGTGTGTGTGTGTGTGTGTGTGTGTGTGTGTGTGTGTGTGTGTGTGTGNTGTGTGTGTGTGTGTGTGTGTGTATTCCCTCTGGTGAGAATTCCCTCCACAGCCTCACTCATGGGCATGTTAGTGTACCACCAGCACACTGTAGTGGCATTTTATAAATGAACACCAACTGACTGCTGATCACGGTGCATGAACATTCTGTATGGTGGAACATATGTGTGTGTGTTTGAGTGCGACTGTGATCCCACTAATTTGCATACAGAAGTGGTGAGGGCTCGAGTGTGCCACACTCCAAGGTCCTCCTGCAGACCCGGAGACGTGCACAAGTGTCCTCCAGCGTCTGGATAATTATGAGGCTTCATCTTCCATGTACATTTGACTTTACGTCACATTTCTGCTCTGTGCATACAACAACCCAGCTTGTGTTCAGAGCTACGTCTCAGTTCAGAGTATGAATTTAATTACTGTTTCACTTTGGGATGCACTTTTTATTTCTTTGGGAATAGCTCGGCACACAAATACTTGCATTCACTCACTGCTGCCTTCACAAGAACCTACATGTGAAGGATGGGAATGAGAGCCATGATATCTGTTACATGTTGACAGTAGCCTGTCACATGGATCCTATTGTTTCCCTTGGGTGTGCCTTTCTTGACACCCCACCTCTTTTGTGTGCGTTATGGGAGTGTGAGCTATCTATGTTCTGAGAAACAGCATCTCCTGAACATTATATTAAACATAATATACCATCACTGATGCCTTTCTCATCTCTTTTTTAGTTTGCATGCTGCACTCAAGTCAAAACGCCAAAAAGGACTCTGATATTTGTCAGGCCAGAGGTCTGGCTGTACCGAAATCCACCTTCACTGCCCTTGTGTTCACTCCCTTGCTCTCTAGTTCTCTAAATGTTTGCAGATGAACACTAATAGTCTCCTCTGTATGTGGATGACACACTAATTAATCAAGCACACCATGCTGGCCAAACCAGAAACAGGCCAACAGCTTCCTGTCCGCAGCTAGCTGGCAGTAATCAGTTTGTTCAACCCTGAAGGGCTGTGAGTTCACATGTATGCGTTTGTGTGTGTGTGTGTGTTGCTGTTGTTCCTGGGTGGAAACACTGTCGTACTACAAGAGTGTGAATTTATGTGTGTGCCAGTGTGCGGTTGTGTGTGTGTGTGTGCACATATTTAGTGTAAGGTAGTGTTAACAGTCCCCCTGTTGAATGGGTCGGACTGTGGTACAAAGCTATTCATTATATGGTGCTATGGTGGATATATTATGCAGCCTGGGCTCCCTCTAATGTCCAGAGGTTATTGGACTCCAGCCACACATTAAATACGTTCTACTTTTTGATGAACTACTCCCTCTATCTCTCCCCACCTCTGTTTTGTTCCTCTGCCTCACCTCATCTTTCATCACATCTCTCTCAAAGCAAACAGATCTGATGAAAAATAAACTTTCCATTAAAGACATCTGGGTTGCGTACACCCTATCCAGTGACATGATTGAATTTCAAACATTACAGCATTGTTTGGTTTGATCAAGTTGTTTGGGAAAGAGAGTATTAATATGTAAATCCTGTGGAGTGTTACAGCCTGCGATTGCGGCAGATTGCTGTTTAGCTGGTGGTAAATTTGTGTTATCTACAGTAACACAACACTTTGATGACTCTTGCCTCGCTGAATATTTGGAAAGCGAGACACCGTTTTGAATTTTGCTCGCCCTCTTGCAGCTTGGTGCGTCAGTGGGGTTGAATTCACACATTCACATGTTCACACAAGCTCAAACACAAACTAAGACGACTCCTCATTAATTTTTTTGCAGGCACCAGGGAGAGAGGGATGCAGACGGAGAAGAAGCAGGGGAAGGATTGATGGGACGCAGGGTGGCACGGGCAAGGTGATTAAAAACTGGAGCTACAGATGTTTCTGGAACACTTCAAAGTGACGCTCCTGTCACTGCCAGAGCTGGGCATGATGCATTATTGAGATGGTGCCCACCTGGCAGCGCGCGCTGACATCACATGCCCGGTCCACCTGGCACCGCGCGGTCACGTGGGCGACACTTGGGGTCACGCCTCCCTCCTGCTCTCACCCAGCTCCCAGCATGATGAAGGGCATCATGGGAAACGACACACATGCTCAACACGGACCTGAAAGACGCCAAACTGGGGCATGTGCCGGTTTGTAAACTTCATGAAAGGAAAGTGAGCAGGGAGGAAATGTTCTCATGAAGGATCGCGATGCATTTCCTTTATTACTTTGCTATACTGAGCTGCTGTGTGTAAATATTTCTCTCCTACGTACAGGATTTATGCCTTAAATAGAATTTCACTTCCACACTCTGCTTGTAAGTGCCTCTTTAAATTTACAACACGGCACATTTGTGTAATCTTTAAGCAATATTGTGTTTTGTCTTATGCGCCAAGGGAAGATGAATGGAAACTAGATGATGCACTAAAGCAAATTAATTTCTTATGAAATAAATTATTGAAATGCAATGACGATAATTGTGTAGTGTGTGTATTATTGGACATATTAACATAAAAGCTGAGATGTTTTTGGCTTTGGTGCAGCTCACGGCGTGATGCAATTCTTTCTGCTTAATATTTCAGCAGCCCCCACTTTAAACTTACAAGGAATATTTAGAGGTCACAAAGTGTGTTTGTGAGCGTGCACGAACAAGTGTGTGTGTTTCTCCCGCATGTGTCCCCTGACACCTGTACTCTCTAAGGGTGTGAGGAACAGACAGAGGCCAGAGCCACAGTCACAGGTCTCAGACCAGTGGGGTGTGAAATGAATCAGAAGGCCAACACACTCTCCCCTTGCTACACACACACACACACACACACACCATCACTGTATTGTGTGTGTGTGTTGGAGAGAGGTAAGATGGGAGAGTACTGAAAAAGGACGAAGTAAAAAAGAAATAAGAGCGGGCAGAGACAATAATCGCCAACACTGTGGTTCCTGACCGCAATAACAGCCCCTCAGTAAATAAATTCAGTATAAATATTTATGAACGCTGGAACACTTTCTGGTGAGAGATGGTATTCGGCGTAATGGTGGTTTAGCTTCAATGGCTCAGTTTATGCATGGACTTTCACACTGGAAGGCTGTTTTCACAGGGAGAAAGTTTCTCTGTGTTCACTTTAAATCTGAGTTTAACGCACAAGACGAGTTGCTGATATCACAAGTTGGGAAGCCAATCACGGTCCAGTATGCAGCTGGCCAAGCAGAGCAGACCAGGGGTGCGTTCAAATAATCTCCTCTCCAAAACACGATTCCTCGACCCTGATGGAATATGTCAAGAGGTCAAGGAAAGATTTGAAGCCATAAGGAGTGAGGAGAAGGAAACCCACAGTGCAGAATTCTTTTTTGTGAGCATCCCATAATCAGGAGCTCAGATAAATGTTTGTGGATCCTGTCACAAGAATAAAACAGTCGTTCATTTTATCGTATACATATGTGGCTGTGTCCAGGTGCAACTATGATGCTGGGTCACTTTACACATTGTGGAAAGACTTTTTCTCATATACTCCGGTGTTTCCAATGCTAAAGGAGACAAAGCATTGACAAGTGCAATAGATGCCACGTGTGTAACCGAACACATCAGTAAAAATCACAGTATTTACAACATTTACTGGAAGAAGCAGTTTGTAACATTTGTACATATGATATGAAAATATCTGATAGAGATGACAAATGAACTGAGGAGTTATTGTCAGTAAAACCTTAATTAAAAAAATAACGCACCTGACTGTGAGCCTAATATGTCTCCATTCATTCCAATGACTGTATATTTATGTATATTTGTTATTTGTCTTGTTTATTCTCTGTAATCTGCACATTTGCTTCTACTACAACAAACTAAACTCTCTCTTGGGAATAATAAAGACAACAAAGATGTAAAGTGTTAAACTCACAATCACAACCTGCAACAAGGCTGCACGAAGGGGCTGTCCGGCCCTCTGATTGGCTGTATCCGCTGTCCATCACCTCCTCTCTCCCCCTCCCTCTCCTCCCCCCTCTCCCCCTGACGGCTCGGCAGCACCTCCCACAGACGCACAGCGGCGGCGCAGCTTCCACCGACAATGATATTCCAGGCACTTGCGGCTCGTCTGCAGCGGTAGGAGCGAAGGAGGCGAGAAAAAGAGAGAGGAGCTTCACCTCCTCGAGCTGCGAGTGAGGCAGGGACGCAAAAAAAAAAAGAAAAGAAGAAGAGAGACACAGAGAGAGGTGAAAGAGAAGAAGGCTGTGGAGTAACAACCAAGAAAGACAAGAAAAGAGAGAGAAGACGGCAGCGGCTCGGAGGAGGAGTGTTTAATTGTCTGCGCTAAAGTGTTTTTTACGCACACATTCGACATGTCATCGTCCGGCAAAGACAACAGCGGTGCCCAACACGCCAATTACGTGGGACCTTACCGTTTGGAGAAGACGCTGGGGAAGGGACAGACAGGTGAGTTGGGACAGATCCCCGCATGCACCTTTTTTTTTATTTTAAATTTGAATTGCATGGTTTGTGTTTGCGGGGAGCCAGTTGTGTCTTGTTGGGTGTCTGCAGGTGATGGATTAAACTCACCCGCCATGTCACCAGCACCTGTCCACGGATTGGTTTTTTTGGGGAGGGTTGCTTTGAGGAGTGGAAGGATTTAGGTGATGTTGGCTGTGCGTCGGCGTTTGAATGTGTGTGTGTGTGTGTGCGTGTGTGTTTGCGGGAGCGGAGCAGCGTGGAAACCGTCCGGCAACACAAACGATGACAGTGTGATGTCCTGTAAAAATGAACTTTCTTTTAGTGCCCTGGCTGCCTGGCTTTGTGCGTGTGCTTGTGCGTAAATGTGTGCGTCCTGTGATTGGAGCACAACGCCGTTAATCCCGATTTGCCTGATACATTGATCTATTCTTAGTCCGCAGGCAGGCAGGCAGGCAGGGAAGGGAGCAGGCAGGCAGGCGTTTTCTCCTATAGGCTCTGGCTGCAATACGTGGGTTTCCTCCAATATAGAGTAGAGGGTCCCACCTTGACAGATTACACCAGGAGCAGGGGAGTAGGAGCCTCACTGATCTATATTCATGCACCCCAGGGGGAGGCAATTGCTGGGCTTCCTTGAGCAAGAAGCACATGCTTCATCTCAGCACAAGCAGCAGTGACACTGCAGTTTGTTAAAGTTGCACATGTGCCATTCATGATTAAAAAGGTGTCGTTCAGTCCATCATATTTAAATACAATAGTAAGTGATGCATGCATGTATGTTGGCTTGTTTGTGCAGGAGCAGCCCGTGCACTGTTGTCAGCATTGTACAGTGAGAATCCTCTGCGGTCAAGTACATGCAGCCAGTGTGAGCCATGTGAGAGAGGCAGGCACAGCCCAGTGTGTAGGCAGAGATGGCAGGAGAGATGCTTTGTAAGCCCACCGCCCTTTCAGAGAGAGAAAAAGAGACTTTTCCTCTTCTCTTCTTGCACGTCTGTGGAGATTTTCCTCCCATCTGCTGTCGAAAACGGCTACAAATGGCGTAACTTCCCCATATACCTGCTCCAGCTGGTCATGCCGAGCAGCCGTGTGTTCGTGTAAATGTTTGTGCACATGCTTTCTGGAAATAGCCTCCCAGGTCACTTCATTCACTGGTCATTAACAAGAGTCTTGATCTCTACAGGACATTTTGAAGTGGGTTTCCCACCAGAAATCAAATTCCAGAACATGTTCCATCCATGGGCATTGAGTTCAGTGTCCCGTGTCTGCAGTGTGATGACTGTAGGGTGACCTCACATTGAGAATTCATGCTGAAAGCTTTGTTGCCTTTGTTTTTTTTTGTTGTTGAGCAGATTAACAAAAATGTAGTATTTATTTAGCCAGACTCCCTTTCTCCTACAGCTCATATCTAATCGTTTGTGTTTACAGGAGGATCTTTCGCTCACAGCCAGACTTTCAGATGGCTCTCAGGAGTGTCTAATGGTTGTTTATGGTGGTGTAGAGCTGGCAGTATAGTCTGCTGGGTACAGACGTTTAATGACGTGGTGTCGCTGAGCTCATCCGTGGCTCAGGATGTATTTATCTGAGTGTTGAGGCATTTTTCTTGCTACCCTGAGATGTCAGACACACGGAGGAAAGCTACGAGTCCACGTGGCTCATAACTTGTGTCCTTGGCCCTCACCTGCCAGGTAATTTAATCAGGAGAATTTTAACTGAGTTACAGGAAGATGGAAGATCATAATTAAATACCACATTCATTTTGGCCTGGTTCTTAAATTACATTTTCATGTTTCAAATGTGCAGCGACGGCAGTGCATGCGTGTTGAGTACTGGTTACTGGCGTCTGTGTAGCTGACTCATGCCAAACCTATTCAGATTAATGACAGTGCATAATATCCCATTTGCCCATTAACCATTCGTTAATCTGTCAGATCTCAGTCCCAGGAAGGGGGTTGGTTTGGCAACTACCCTGAGTGCCCAATGGTCCCGTCACAGTCGAGAGTGGCAGCCGGGCTCGTCCAGTGGGCTAAGTCCCGCGTGTTCTTTCCCAGGCTGTGGTTGGCCGGTATTATTAGATGGGAGAAAGCGGAAGGCCTCTGGTTGATCTGGCTGCCCTGTTCAGTAGAGTGGTGCTGTTCCATGTTCATTAAGTGATTAGGCCTTTTCCTGACACACACACACACACACACACACACACACACACACACACACACACACACACACACATGGCCGCCACAGTGGTTCTGGTTTGGCTTCCTGATTTAATCCCCTACACAGCCAAAGTCCCCTCGGCTCTCACTCACGCACTCACGTGGCCCAAAGGTAGGATGGGCTGGCCCACACCAGCTTAGCAACTTAGCACCTCCAAGCTATGGTTCAAGTAGAGTTGCACAGGCCGCATGGGACAGGCCACAGTTTTCCTACAACCACCACACGTGCATAGTTTAAAAAGAAGGTTGTAGCACATTATCACTTCCCCAAAGGAGGCTATGTCTTCATGTGAATTTCTATCTTTTAGATAGCAGTTCGCAAAAATGACTCACCCGATTTCCATGAAATTTCATGGGGATGTGGGGGACCACCCATGGAAGAGCCCATTAAATTTTGGTGCAGATCCAGTGAATATTTTTCCCTTTCTCTAACGTGAGGTGATGAGGGTGTTTGTTAAAAGTCATTTCTCAGAGAATAATTCATGGATCTTGATGGAAAAAAATCAGGCAGGTTTAATATGTTCAATCAGGATCTAGTGAATTGAAATGTGGTTCCATCAGAGGACTGTTGGGCCTTGGCGGAGGTATACATTCTGAGTGCTATTCCAGTTAAATGTATTACTCTTACTCCAAATACAAGAGTGTAGTGTATTCTATGTACAGTATATTATGGACTTGCCTGTCAGTCTTCGACACCCCCATATTTCTCTCCACTTGCTTTCCTTCAGCTTTATTGCTTTCTCTCTGGTTTCTTCAGACTATGTGAGCAATCCCGTCTTTGTCAGCTGTGCATTGGGGCTTGATGGGGTCTATAGATATGGAGTGTCGGCATGGCTGGCTACTGATTGCGGCCGAAGCCACAGAAGCATGGCGGCCATTTACCAAGCCAAAGACAGTCATTGTGCTTAGGTGCATGGCGGAACCTGGCCGGGGCACCTGAGTCTCAGCATTTTCCTTGTACCTCTTGCACCTTTTCCTATCAAACACTGAGTTGCGCTGCCTGTTGGGTTGTATAATGTTCTGTATTTGCTTCCGTTCAATGTTACGATGCTACAGTAAGTGAGGTAACATTTGTCTCTATCAGCACCAGGGTTTGTAGGTAGAATCAAACTCTTTGAGTTTCAAAATCTCGAAGCTTTGTTTGACAAAGCTGAATATTGTGGATTTGTGTTTTCACCAGCGCACCGACTTAAGACGGGCTGAATCGCTACTCTGTTCCACTAATGCTTCGGAAAACACTTTCATGCTTCGCCTTTACTTTGTTCCTGTAGGCTGTTTATTAGCGGAATAGAGGCCTATTGTCTGGAAGAGATTGACTGCTAATCCACTGTAAGTCGCTGTTTTTTTGCGAGACTTGGATATTGACAAGCGACCAGTTGGAGGCTGATGTGTTGGCTCCTTGATTCTTTGATTGATGTTAAGAGTGAAATCATCTGTGCTTCAGGGGCTTTATATTGACCGTTCATCTGACAAAAAGCTGCCTGTGATTTCACGTCTTTGCTCGCTCTTTCTCTATTTAGTTCTCCTTCTTTCCGTCTATCTGCTGGAGAGTTCTTGTTCTCATGCTCCCCAGGCTTACAGGGCATTTCAGCCAGAATCTCGCTATTCTCTGTGTTTCCATGTCAGCGAAGGGCTGGCCAGATTGTAACTCTCAGCGTGTGTTCCTCTGATGCAACATGAGGTTGTGTTGGTTTCCGTGTTTTAGGGAGTGAAAGAAAAGCTCTCATTTTGTTTTTATTTTCATTTACACATGCGCAAATTATCTCCACCGGTGTCTGGTAAATTGTACGTTAACGTAAAACCATTAATTTGATGTTGATTGATAGCCGGTGTGCTGGGGACGGTTGATTCGGATCAATGGGCACTCCCAAAGATTTCCTGTCTGGTGGAGGAGATCCATACTGTTTCACAGCACATGATATTCCTGATGATGACAAGTGAAGAAGGAATGCTCAGTCGATGCTGTCAATGAAAAACCACTTGGCAAATCCTTAGAAACTAAATGAGTGTGTGTGTTTGTGTGAATGGACCAGGTGCTCAAACTCTGGGTGACCCATAGTCTGTGTCCTATTAACATAATCTTGAAACTAGCGTCGAGCTCAAACACAGGTGTCCATCTCCCATGTTGCCAGCTTCGACCTAAAATTGTTGAGTTATTGATGGAAATAAATGAACGGGTTACGGCGATAGACCCCGGGTTGAAATGGGCCCTTTCAGACATTCAGGTCGGAGGAACGTCGTTGCTCCCAGCTGTGCAACAACCCTGTGTCAGCGGGCTGGAGGAGAGCTGGAGAGCAGGAAGCCAAGGCTTGCATGGTCTCAGCTGTTGGACTGTGGCAAACGCCCAAGCCCCTCTCCCTCAGCCCTGACATGTGTCCTAAATGATGGGAGGCTGGTGTGCAAGTGTGTCTGTGTGTCAGCTGATAAGTAATGTTGTCTAGTTGGGTGCTTGTGTGGATGTATGCTTTCCCAAATGTGTGTTTAGGCTCAGGCTACATCCATATTACCACTTTGAGAATGAAAGAAATAATTGTCCGCATGAGAGTTTTGGCTAAGTATCATTTTTATTCCCCGTCCTTATTAAGGAACTTGAAAATGCAAGTGAATGCTCTCGCACACTCGGCATGTGCCTTCGTAAACATGAAGACATGGATGTGCTGCTGTACAAAGCAGATATGTGGTTGTTAGTTTCAGGCAAACATTCAGTGTCTTCGTCATCATTTCTAGACATCGGCCTTTCTGCCCGTCCAGACTCAAATGCTGCACCAGAGTTTTCTAACT